CCCCCCCCCCCCAAGATAAATCTACTTAAAATTGTCAAATGTCGCCACCTCATGGCTTTTGGGATGAACAATAATATCACGTGTATAATATATTAAAAAAAACCACAGCCTTTATTATGTTAACAATTTAAGCAAATTCATCACATATATTTTTATTTTTTTTAATTGTAAGAATTGCCTTTCCCATTGAGGGCGCCCTAACCCCCCCCCCCCACACACACACATTTAAAAGCTTGAACATGGAAATTAATTATGAATAACTAAATCCGTTATTCCGAACTCCACAGATCATGACCTATCTAGAAGTAAGAGACCTATCTAGAAGTAAGAGACCTATCTAGAAGTAAAAGACCTATCTAGAAGTAAAAGACCTATCTAGAAGTAAGAGAACTAGCTAGAAGTAAAAGACCTATCTAGAAGTAAGAGACCTATCTAGAAGTAAAAGACCTATCTAGAAGTAAAAGACCTATCTAGAAGTAAGAGACCTATCTAGAAGTAAAAGACCTATCTAGAAGTAAGAGACCTAGCTAGAAGTAAGAACCTACTGCTTTTCACCATCTCCGATGAAGGCCTATCGTCTAAGTTGGAACCTATTGGTTCCCCACCCTTCAATGAAGACAAACTCTTCTTCTTCTCTTCTTCTTCTATATCTTAAGGGCCCACGATCAATTTATTGATCATTTTGGCTCCTATGCATGTCGATGGCTAGGACCTACTGTCCCCCACCCCCAATGAAGAGCTACCTTGTAGTTTGGACCTATTGGTTCCCCACCCCTCAATGAAGACAAACTTCATGGCTAGGACCTACTGTCCCCCCACCCCCAATGAAGAGCTACCTTGTAGTTTGGACCTATTGGTTCCCCACCCCTCAATGAAGACAAACTTCATGGCTAGGACCTACTGTCCCCCACCCACCCCCAATGAAGAGCTACCTTGTAGTTTGGACCTATTGGTTCCCCACCCCTCAATGAAGACAAACTTCATGGCTAGGACCTACTGTCCCCCACCCCCAATGAAGAGCTACCTTGTAGTTTGGACCTATTGGTTCCCCACCCCTCAAT